ACTCGGGACATTTGACTTGCGGATTGTTGCAAAGACCATAAAAGTGGGCAAAAAGCAATTTAATTGCTTGCTTGATTGTTGCTGTTGCTACATACATACATACATACATACATACATATGTATTTAAGTAATGTAATCGATACTTCAGCTGAGTACATTTACTGGCAAGCCGGTTAATGGTTTAGAAGACGGCGCCAGCCGCAGACCACGCGCTTGCGCGATACGTTCTACAATGTTATACTAAGTAAGTATGTAACTAGCGGTAAGTAACTCATGGGTTGGCAATGCAATGGTGCAAGCAGAGTTGCCCATTTATTTCAAAGTCAAAATGATGCATTTAATAAAAGCATTTATCTGTTCGAAATTAGATGTTACCGATTTGAGGTTTTGCTTCGTGTTGGCAGGAGGTAAGTCGTTTTGAAATCTGAGTTGGATTTCGGCGTGTACAGGAAAGAATACACAAATCTTGCCATTAATGATAAAGCTTCCAGTTTTAAACGAGTTTAAAAAAATGATCAGATAGGTAAAGGTTAGTTCTTCCCCTACAGCGTTTACAGCCAGGCCCATATTTGGTATGTCGGGGTGGAGTCTTGACAGATACGAGTTCAGACGACTGCAGTATTCTGATCTAAGCTGCGCCAGAGTTTACGCTGGTGTCTCGCGGCAGCTGAAGCTCTTTATCTGCGATGGCTGGTTACTTGTTGGGCTCCAGATACGACATTCATGGGGCCAGAGTCTCTGATACGTAGTCGAGCCTATTGGTAAAATAACATATGTCTGCTATGCAGGTATTATTCACACGAGATTAGAAGGCAACCCGTTGCTACGTAGACCAAACAGGTGCAGCATAAACTACAACCGTTAGGCCAATTTGCTGCCAAATACGTTTTTTGTATTTGCGTTAGAGCTGCCGGCGAGCGATTTGAGGGTCTTTTTGCAGCTTTCTACTTTGTTGATTATTGCGGTTGCGTGCGTTGAGAAAGAGAGCTAGCTAACTGCTAAAATTTTAGGGAGTTTCGTCGTTGAAATTGCAGTTTGACCTTTTTGGCCAGGTGATAAAGAGAGTCGCTGTTGATTTCCTGGGGCAGAGGTTTAGGATCCGTGCAATGAAGAAATGAGGAAGAAATGTCCTCATTGCCTCCCTGCCTAGCCAGTACTTCTAGTAAGCAGTTTTCCGCGATATCATTTTTGCATGATACTCAAATAAACTTAATGGCGAAATAATGTTATGATACTGAAATGTACAGGTTTAAGTTAATAAAGTGGTAGCCGGGTTTTAAATAAAACACCTTCTCCTTTCGCTGCTCAAATTGGAATGTCCTCTTTTATTCTTTTCTTTTCACAAGATGGTGTCTTATAACTATATCTTAAGGTCTAGTTACACTATTCGTGTACTAAAAATATGCTAAAGGGACTATTACACTATTACNTCACCATCGCCGTTATTCGCACCTTTGTCATTGGTTGATCCCTCGCCGTTATTCGCGTCGTTGCCGTTGTTTGGTCCATCGCCGCTATTCGCACCATTGCCAGCACCTTCGCCGTTATTTTTTTCTTTGGCTGTACCATTGCCTCCATCGATATTTGGTGGCACCGTAGCTTTCGCGCCGCGTTTTTCTGGCACACTATCACCTCCAGGCACGTCAATGGCTCCTGGACACAAGCCCCGTGCTTCTGCCGACAGCTCGCTAAGTCGTGCAGCCAGCGACGCTTTTGCTCCACTAGCGTTGAGCCCCACTGCCGTGCACCACGCTTTTAATTGAAGTAGCGAGTACTTCTCCGCGTTAATTGTTTCCCGATTCATATTGAAATTTTAAAAGCTTTACGTTGGAAGGGTTCTGTGACCACTTCTGATGAAATGTACAGGTTTAAGTTAATAAAGTGGTAGCCGGGTTTTAAATAAAACACCTTCTCCTTTCGCTGCTCAAATTGGAATGTCCTCTTTTATTCTTTTCTTTTCACAAGATGGTGTCTTATAACTATATCTTAAGGTCTAGTTACACTATTCGTGTACTAAAAATATGCTAAAGGGACTATTACACTATTACAATGACTTACGTGATTTATTAATCTATTACTTAAGCTAGCCTATACAACGCTACTACAATACGGAAGAAGAATTCAGGCTTTTTCTGGCAAATTTCAACTACACCATCAGTTAGCACAGCTGACTACTTCCTGGCTAATAGTGAAACAAACGTTTCAAAATTCATCACATAGATATTGAATCCAGTAGGATGTGACTAACAAACCCCTAATGTCGAAAAAGACGCCAGCTACGAATTTTGCATTCCAAAACGGCCTGCGAATGTACTTATTACTAAAATAATTCAGAAGCTTCAAAAATGATATCAAAGTCCGAATTGGCGTCAAGGGAGATACTGCTAACTGTTTTATTAGAATGGAAAAGGAATATTATTTCTTTGGGACCTGTCCTGACCTGATTTATCGACAACTGAGACGGTTGAATTAATCACCAGAAAGGGCGTTATCTTATATTTAGGCAATTCTTCATAGGCATAGGGAAAATTGGTGCAGATTAGCTCTGAAGTTTTGATGCTTACACCGCATGGCTCAAAACTTTAGCCATGCGGCTCCTCTCTTATTGGTGTAAGCCTGAAAATTACTTTGGTTCAGTTTTTCTCCCGGGAATCTTACCAGAAAAACAAAAAGATCGTCGAATAAGACCAACATAAGAATAAAATTGACTAGTATTTCAAATTAAGATGAATAAAGTCGAAATTCAGATGAGAGAAAACGAAACTTTCCAAACCACTTTTACGTTAACACCATTAGTGATTTAGTGAAATAAGATATGCTGACAAGAATGCTCCTAACTACTTTTAGAAATCACTAATATATAGACTTTGCATGGTACAAGAAATCTGCAGGGAAATATATTCTCCAATTCGATTGCCAGAAAACCGACCATATCTTGGCGTCAATTATAATTATATGGCAACACTATATGCTATAAACTTAATGTCAAATGGCTTTTTTGTATGGTCGAGTATGTCATAGATGTACGTACATATGTATGTAAGTGCATACACACATCTTTTGGTGGCGACATTCCAGTCTTATCGCTTCGCATTAGTTGTTGGCAAAGGAAATATGTGGGAAAACTGCATATTTGTTAAGAGTTGCACAGCTACTTTTGCTGAGTGTTTATTGTGTTGGTTTGCTCATTAGAAGCGCGTCCAGGCAATCAACGCCGCCAATAAGTAAGTTATTAATGCAACTAATTATTTGCGAGTTATTAGCTTTCTAGAACATTTTCGCCCGAGTACGAATATTTAATTGGCTTCAATGCAAAAACTAATAAATTATCTGTTAATGCAGCTGTGGTGGCTGTGCGCCAATTATTATTGAATAAAATAATCTGCAATTTTGTGTAGGTCTAAGGACCACTAGTAGTTAACCACTTTTGTATGTATAATATAGTACCTTCTTCAAAACCCGCATGAACTACTTACGAAAGGTAGTATTTAGTACTAATTTATTGTCGGACAGCAGACCAAATACAATTTGAAAATCAACGCACATTTTTTTTACCTAATATACCGGAAGCGCGAGAAGAACTTGATTACTTAGTTAGAATTCTGTTGCTTGCCGTCAGGCAGCACTAATCAAGGTGTATGCCGAGAAAAATGAAGGAGGCGTATACGTCTGCTTGGTGATTCTCGGGATTAAGTAAATTTCGCAGTGAATGTAGGAAAGCTCTCTATACTGTTGACCTGACTCAAGTTCTGAAACGGTTAACTTGCTTTGAGATGACCACTTCCCAGAGTGCAAACATGATTCGGTAAATATTCCATAACAAGTAGAAGCCACACAACAGCTTATCCCGTGATATGGACAGAGGTCAAAATAATGTTCAACCGAAAGCAGCAGGTAGCAATCATCTTCTCTTTTTTAATTAAGATACCACAAAGTAGTCATTTTTATCAGACGGTACACGCCTTAAACCCGATAGTTAAAGCCTGAAATTTAAACAAATCTAAAGGGTACAAAGCAGCGTGGAGTTATGTATAAGTGCAACCCTATGCTCTTCCCCAATCGAGCTCTAAATACGATCTTTTGCCTCCCTCCGCTTGACGTAAGTGCTATATATAGCCGTTATTGCAGTCCTAAAATTAAGAGGCAAGCTCATGACAAGTCTCGCCACACGAAAATCCTAGGAACGATGGCACCAATAACGATACTAACAAGTACTGATTACTCAATACGATCTACAATTTTAACCAAAATTACTAAATTATCATACGAACTATGGGATGGTATACCAGGCCTCCCCACATAACAGCGCTTTAATGATGTATACTGATGTCGCAAAACTTTACGGAAATATCGGAGAAGGAGTATTCTCCCAAGTGTTGATGGCTTTCCAAAAGGTTACTCTACACTTGATTAGAAGACCTAAGGGCAAAATACAGATCTTCATCTTATCTGGCAGTCAACACATGCGTAGAAAAATACAAAGCCGCTCACTGAATGCGGGAGATCACTAAATAGATCGCCCAGCTCTAAAGTATCCAACTCATATGAGTGCCTCGACACCGAGATATGGTGAGTATACAGCAAACGAACGCTGGTATAACCTCTTGTCCTGTGGGACTCTCTAAGGACAGAAAAGCAAACATCTCTAATCTTAGATTAAAAAGGAAATGAGGTATCCATTCTCAAAAGCATTCTTACAGGTCACTCTTTAATTTACGTCCATGAATCTGGATATCCGCAGAAGAAGTAAACGAAATTAATATAAAGCCTTTACAAGCCAACGGCGATACTTATTAACCAAATGGTTTGGCTCCACAATGGGCCTGCCCTTGGCCTAACTGAGCTATCAAATTTAAACAGTCAGGTATATCCGAAAAATTCTACCTTCAAGACTTATAAATTAAATAAATTCAAATACATTTTTGTAAAATTTCACTTCTTCGATATGTAGTTAATATTTATTCTAAATTTTTTTTTCAAAATCAGCACTTCAATCTACTTTAGCCTCGCTGTGGTCGTACAACAACAGCTTGTGGCTTCCGGCGTCGACGACGTCGCCGATTACCTGGATTACGATTGATTCGACGACGCTTGTTTCCACGCCGATTTACGCGGCGCCGATTCCCAGTAGTAGTACCCGTAGTACTCGTTCCCGTACCACTTCCACCAGCCGCCACCGCTTGCCCTACAATTTGCGGCAGCAGCCCGACAATCGGTGAATTACTCGCAGCTCCAGAATTGCCGGTGCTCGTAATGGTACCAGTCGTAGTTGTGGGCGAAGTGGTTGCAGCATTTCCGCCATTCAAATTTATATAGATGGGAGTAATAGTATTGCTAGAGCTATCCGAGGGTCGCAACTGTTCGAGCAGATCCTGCGACTGTGTAATCAGCTGGTTGACAGAGTTGGTGCCAGTCAGAAAACGCAGCTCACCATTTTCACTATCCTTGATGAATAGCGCGGCAACGCGTTCATTATTAGATTTGTTTTTAGGTGCGGCTACGTTAGAAGCGAAGATACATTTTGCTATCATTAATTAGTAGGAGATAGCTTCAACTGCACTTACCTGTGACAAGCGATTGCGTTGCCAGAAATATGAACAGCAGCTTCAGCATATTTTGTTTTAAATTAAATTAAATTTTTTCTTCAATGAAATTATTTCCTTCCGCCAATATTAGGCGCACTCGGCTGTCAGCAGTTAAGACAGCGCTACACCCGTTCTACAAATGCTCTAATATCGTCTGAAGTCAACGGTTTTATACCAAGCTGCTTCACATTGCTGTTGACCAAATTTTAGAAACCAAAATGATATGCAAATTTCCTAACTTCAAATAAAAAAAAATCTTCTCTAACTGTTTATTTGGTAAGAGTGAAATTCTTCTTTAACTTTTTTTCTAAATTAAAGGTCATTATTAAGCCTTTTGGAAAGTTCGCAGATGAAAGTACTCACGCGCCACTTAACAATCGCTTCACGCATAATGACAGCCATGTACGCAGAATTGCCTTAAGGGCTCAATTAAGTTATACTTCTAAGTAGCACCAGCCGCAATTGCAAGCGGGAAAAGAAAATAAAGTTGATTGGTTTTAGGAAAAAAAAATGTTTTAATAAGACGCTGAGCAAGAGAGTACGTATGCAAAACATGTTTCTGTGCTAACGAAATCTGCGTGAGAATATTGACAAGAAAGCTTAATGAATAGTTGAATTGTATGTAAGTTCGCACAAGGTACGCTCAGATGCGTTGTAAATGTGTCACTGGGTGCACGAGTACCTATTGTGAAGTACCATTGGCAAATCCATGTAAGAAAAAAAAACAGCGAAACGAAATTAAAAAAAAAAAACTTTTTTCGTATTTATGGCTCCATTAAAGAGGTTTCTTTGATTCGATCTTAAAAATGTGCAAGAAAAAGTTACATTGAAAACTGTAGCGTTTTTCAAAATTATGGGTCCGCTGGAATATCGCTCAAAGAAATTAAAATTTCATCGTCCAATATCCAATGTCGGTTTCAATAAGATTCAGTCCGAAGCAACCGGTCAGTCCGCGATCGGGCACCCTGAGCAAAATGCGGTAACGAACCCATGTGTAGCATTGGGAAACGTGAAAAAGAGAAAGAGGTTTAGTGGCGCTTCTACGACTTCAGTTAGCCCTGAGGCAGCAGAGCATACACTGATTGAGAGAAGATATTTCAGACCCTAGGCTGCTAACAAAGGTCTGGTTACAACAAAGTTCCTTACGCGTATTCCATACCTCCGCCGGAAGTAGCTGGTAGGCAGTTCAGTGGCTGCTGATAAAGCCGAACTGATCTCTGCCGAGCTGGCTTGGCCGAAAGGTGATGATTTTTGAGCATCATCAGGCTTGTTGTGTAAAGTTTTTTTTAATACTGTTACACCTTGGAGTCGGAGTAACTCATGGGAGATAGTGGCAGCTCAGAAAATAATCCGAGAAATTACGTGGCACCATAGTCAGACCCCCGACTGTCCTCTAACATCAACTTCTTCTCCCCGAGATTTTTTTTCCGCACGACCGTAAATATAGCCTGACATAAGTAAGCATGTACAAAGGTTTCTAGCTGTGCTTGAAAATGTGTCAAAAATCGTTTTTAATTCAAAAACTTGGCAAGTCATCGTAAAATCATATTCAACCTGATACAAAATTTTGGCACTCGAAATGATCTCAAGTGCGGCATTGAAGCTGCTTCTGTAGGTCATAAGCTTGTTGGCGTCATTATTACAGCAATAACACAAAACAACCGTAATACTCGTATCACTTGTAGAATAAACCGGCTCGTAGAAGGCAGTTACTATACGCAGCAATTTAAGAAACAAGCAAATCAAAAGGAGGATATTTTATGCAAATTTTTTTTATTTGAAGTACATATGTACATTAGGGTGGTCCAAAATAAGTAAAGTCGGAATTTCAATGCACTAACCCCCTACGATTGGTCTATATCGAAAAAAGTATACCCCTATTTTTTATTTTTAAATCAAACAAGTAAGAAAGTCTAAGTTCGGGTGGAGCCGAACATTAAATACCCGGCGCAAGTATTAAATATATGTTTTTCACCTTTCCGAAACCTACCGCTGGATGGTAAGCCGGGGTGTATAAATTTTGAGTAAGTTAGCGTCCTTGGATTTCGAAATATTGAAATTTCAAGCATTTCTGAAATTTATTTGTTATATGAAATTCGGCCGTAAGTTTAGGCCGATTTCAATAATTTTCAACGCTATGCTTTTATGTGGCAAGCACAATAACCATACCGAGTTTGGTACAAATTGGTAGAACGGTTACCGAGATACATATACGTGATCATAAGTGGGCGGTGCCACGCCCATTTTCCAAAATTTTATCATAAACGTATTTCTTGGTAAAGAATGTTTGCAAGCGTAAATTTTGAATAAATTAGCTTTAATAGCTGAAATACAATGCCGGCGAACGCCGAACTCACCACAGCGAAATTCGCGCTGTCAAAATTAAAATACCCGCAAGCATATGAAATTGAACACAGCCAAAGCGAAATGCGAAGTTCGCTTGGCGGCGTTTCATGGCGATAAATTTATTTCTATCGCCTTGCTGGGCGATGACAGCTGTGCGTGCCAAAGGTGGCCGTATATGTTTTTTGCTTTCAAATTTGTTGTTGTTTGAAAAATATAGTTGTGGATTCGTTAAATCTGGTTTGAAACAAATTATATACAATAATCTTTCTTTGTTTTACATTTATATTTGTTATCATTTCCTCATTTCTAAATATGGTTTAGTTTTTTCTAAATATGGTCACCCAAATTATAAAGGCGACCAAATGGGATCAGCTGTTTTCGCTACCGCTCTAATTCTGTTTAAGTAGGCGAAATAGCTGGGCGAACGGTGAACGACAGCATCGCCCAATTCAGCGAAGTTTGCCGTTCGCCGGTATTGTATTTCAAGCATAATATTTACTGATTTATCGAAGATTTCGTATTTCTCTAAATTACCCTTATATGGAATGAGGGCGTGGTTATTGTCCGATTTTTTAAATTTTCGGCCATTTGGTATGCTGTACCAAAGCCAACAATTGTGCCAAGTTTGGAAGAAATCAGTGCAGCGGTTGCCAAGATATACACATGTAACCATAAGTGGGCGTGGCTCCGCCCATTTTTCAAAAATTTAGAATATTCTTATTTTTCGTCTCAAAATTATTATAAATATAAATTTTGAGTGAATAATCTTCAGTAGTTACTAAAATATCGCAGTTTTCGTATTTCGGAAAATTACCGTTATATGGAAGGTAGCCGTGGTTATTGTCCTATTTTGCCCATTTTCAATACCATCCGTCCTACGCCCGAAAGAAGTACACGTACAAAGTTTTGTTAAGATATCTTAATTTTTACTCGAGTTATCGTGTGCACAGACGGACGGACAGACGGACGGACGGACGGACAGACAGTCACCGCTTAATCGATTTCTCTTTTCATTCTGATCATTTATGTATACATTTGTCTATATCTATCTCGATTCGTTTTGCCTGTTACAAACAACCGTTATGTGAACAAAGTTATAATACTAATAGTTTTATTACTGGGAATCTGTTGAAGAGAAACAGAGTCTTTCGATCGAAAAATATTGATTTTCAAGAATTCCATACCATTTCCATGAAAAGTTCTTTTTTCCCCAAACAAAATACGTGGAAAACTTTGAGCGTTTTAAGCGACCTCTAAATATTTTTTAATTTCAAAATAAAAAATAAGGGTATAATTTTTTTCGGTATAGAACAATCCTAGGGGGTGAGAGCCTAAAAATTCCGACTTTACTTTTTTTACATGCATTTTTGCCACCCTAATGTACATGCATACAAATGTATATATGTAATGTGAGTATGTCACGACTTGGTGAAACAGGCGCAAGCTTTCATCGAATGTGCGCTAAATCAACGCTGCAGGGTTTACATATTACCATGGAATGGAAGAAACTAGTTCGGAATTCGGTTAGAACTAGTTCTTTAGGATATGAAACTGGTTATCCCAGCCTTTCCTTTTCGCAAAGCTTGTATGAATTTTCTAATATTATAACAGCTTCGGAATAAATTTCGTAGATCCGGTTAGAAAGTTAAACAGCTACCGATTTAACAAGCGCTAATTTTTTTGTATGATAAAGCGACTTTCCCCTAATAGAAGAACGAAGAACCAAATTGATCTTAAAGTGATAGACGAAAGATACGCTTCGAGCGCTCTATCCGAGGAACCGACATCGCCTCGGATCAGCTAAGGTCCGCATGCGCTTTAGTGCAATGAAAAACTTACGTTGGGAAACGCTGCCAAAGTTCAACGTCGCAAAGGTGCAGTCGCAACGGACAGCCGAGAAATTTCGCCACGCAGCTGACGCAGAAAAAATCGCAGCATACGAAATGGCCTTACAGACAATGGCGACGCGCGCGACAATTGTGCGACACCGGGAAAAGGAGGGAAGAGATACGCTTTTTTAAGAGGCCTGAGTGCGAGAAACTTGAAATGCTGGCAGGTAGGAATTTGGATCGAAATCAGAAAATAAGGAAGCAATGAAGTGGTTTTAAGACCGGGACTGGCTGGCTGGCTAGATAGAAATCTGGTAATAGATGCCCAAAGTACACTTCAGATATGGAGGTAACACTTTTGAATAGCGAAACAGGTGGTTCTTTTTATGAATAAGAACCGGAGCCAATGCGTAGGGACGAAGCTCACGTGCCTCCCCACGACCAATGCGAGGTGAGACCAGCAATAGAGCGGCTTAAAACCAAAACGCCCTCGGAGCCGACTGCATACCGGCTGAGCTGTTCAAAGCTAGCGGCGAAGAGACGGACGGCGCATGTAGAAGATTTTAAGCAGAATTTGGTCTGATGAATAAATGCCTGAAGACTGGAATCTGAGTGTACTTTGCCAAGCGGAATACGCCGTCCACGAACCAACAGATTAGACCTTATCAGTGTGGCTTCAGACCTGGTCAAGTCCTGCAATGACCACATTTTCACGTCAAATCCTGGAGAAGACATTATATATGCAAATCGACACCCCATCTCTTCGTCGGTTTTAAAGTCGCTTTTGATAGCACGCAGAGAAGCTGCCTGTACGACGCCAGGTCTAAATTTGGGATCCCCACAAAACTAAAAC